AAAAAAAAAAAAAAAAAAAAAAAAAAGAAAGAAAAGAACCTGAGCACTGTGGTTTGAGAAGCACCCTTTTAGGCATTAGAAAGCCAGCGGGGGTTTGAGCAGTGTGGCAGGATGTAAGGGCCGTTTTGTCCCTGTGTGGCTTTGAAGAAGAAAGGGAGGAAGAGAGAGGAACAGATAATGGAGGAGACAGGTGAAGGATCTCCACCGCAGGGAAACAGACTCCACAGCGGAACCGAAACACTGACCTCAAGGTCATTTCCACCCAGCCACCGTCCTGCTCTGGGGAAGGGGAACTCTCCTGCCAGCCTGCTCTCCAGTGACCGAGGTGTCCTGCAACGGGACCATCTGCACACAGAAAGAGCAGCTTCTTCCGCCGGAGGAAAGCAGCCGGCATCTCTGGGACCTGGCCAGAGACAGAATCCAAGCTGTGGAATGACCAGAGGGGACAAAGGCTTCTGCGTTATCCCTGCCAACACCTGCCTGCAGGGAAACAAGAAACCCGCCCTGGGAACCAAGTGGCTCTGCTCCCAGACCCCTGGCCAGAGATGCCTGTTTATCATTCAAGGGGACAGTCCCAGCAGGGAGAGGCAGGGCCGGGTCCTCCTGAGGCTGGCTTCTTCAGAGCCATTTCCTGTGCGGCGAGGCCCTGTTCTTGTCTGGGGACACCGCCACGTCTGTGGGAGGAAGACAGACATGTGTCTGAGCTCTGAGGCCAACCCTTTACCGGTCAAGATAAAGAGATCAGTTTCCCTTGGGGCCTCTCTGTTCTCCAAGTGCTTTTCAAGTCTCAAACCAGCTCTATCCAGAAAGATAAAGAGGTGCGGGAACCCCTGCCAAGTGGCAGCTGGACTCAGCAAAAGAAGGGTAAAGGGGAGGGGAGAGCGCAGGCCGCCTCTGCCCCCTAGAAAAGTCCCTGATGGCAGGGGTGGGGAGAGGAGAGGGTTTTATGTGGGCTTGAGAAGTCTGCTACCAACAAAGGGATCGCTTGCAAGAATATTCTCAGACCTGATGTCTTACATGCTCCTCAGTGTCCCTGCCTCCTGAAGGCCAGCACAGCAGCTCCCAAGGTCTCTGTGACTTATCTGCAGGGAATCTCAGATCTCCCCTAATCCTCATTATATACACATTTTTTGGAGAAACCTAAACATAGTTAAGAATTAAATTGTGCCTTTCTCCCTCCCAAATCCCCATGTTGGAGCCCTGCTAGTTCTTTAGAATGCGACCTTATTTAGAACGAGGGTCATGGCAGATGGGAAGGAGCCGATCTGAAGCCACGCTGGAGGAGAGTGGACTCTGATCCAATACGGCAGGATTCCTAACGAGAGGGGGAGATATGGACACATGAGACGCGGAGAGAAGACACAGCAAGCCAACAAGCAAGGCCTGGAACCAGTCTCCCCTCCTAGCCCCAGAAGGAACAACCCTGCTGACACCCTGGTCTCTGACTTCCAGCCTCCAGGGCTGAGACAGTAACTATGCTGCTCAAGGCGTTCAGTTCACAGTGGTTTTTGTTCCCCACCCCCAGTCTTCTCTATTAAATGCCTTAATGCTGGAAATGCTGGAGTGGTTTCCATTTCCCAGGTGGAATGCGAATCCATGGAAAGGACTTCGTAAGCTTTATTTCAGACTTATGCACATAGAATTTAAATAACATTCACTCCCTCCCTATTTAAAACTACAAAATTAACATCTGTTTAATGCGGAAAATTTGGAGAGTACACAAAAGTAAAGTATAACCGTTCACATTTTTGAGGTCTTTCCACTTAGACATTTCTCTGCGGATATGCATGTTCCCTTCTACACTGAGGTCACACTGTGCGTAATTTTATAACTTGCTTCTTATTCTCAGTTCTAAGTGAACATTTTCCCATGGCGTAGAGTTGTCTTCAGGAAGTCAATTTTGAAGTCAGTTTTTGTATTTGTTTCTTTCATTACTGGAGATCAAACATAGCTGGGTAAGCTCTCTATTGTGGAGCAACTTACTGAGGCCCATTTTTGTTTTAATTTATTTCTTTTGTGAGACAATTCTTAAATATAAAAGAGGTCCTTACCATATACCCAGTTTAAATAGTAATTATAACATGAACATCAGGTAAAGAAATATTTGCTGCACCCAATAGCCTTCAAGATTCAATCACTACCCTCATGTTATGTGCATTGTTTCTTTGCTTTTCTTACTTCCACTATCTTCTCATTTGTCTCCAGATGGTATGCAGTTTGACTGTTCTTTGGATCTTATATAAGTGAAAGCAGACAGTAACTTTCTGATGTTGGCTTCTTTTGCTCATTTGTCTGTGGGATTCATCTCTCACTAAGTGTAGCAAGTTGCTTAGTTTTCACGGCTAAATAGCATTTCATTGTATAAATATATAAATGTATAAGTATATTATATATGTTATATACAACATACTATATGTTAATTTATTCATCCACTTTTGCTGTTTGTGTATCTTTTTTTGGTGGTGGTGCTGCGGATTGAACCCAGGGCTTTTCAAGCACTGAGTATAGGCACTACCTCTGAGCTACATGCTCAGATCTGTTATGAATATTCGTGCATGTGAAGTTAAGCGCACATGCCATGCATTGCTACTGGATAAAAGCTTCAGAGTGGAATTGCTAAATCATGGAGTATATGTGCTATCACTTGACCAGATAGTGCCAAACTGCCTTCTGAAATATTTATACCAGCACATACTTCTGCCAGGACTGGAAGAGTTCCCTTTCCTCTACATCCTCACTAACACCATCAGGGATCATCATACATTAAATCTGTACCGGTTCCATGATGTGTAATACATCTCACGGTGGTTTTAATTTGTGCAGTCCTGCTTACTAAGGAAATTGGGTATCTTTCCACATGTATTAGTCATGTAGGTTTCTGTTGTGATAGAATTCTTGTTCCCATGGGCTGGTAGTAGTGTTCTTATTGGCAGGTGGGTAGGTAGCTTTATTATTAGTACTGAGATCTCTTTAGGAAATGATCACTTTTCTGAGACATCTTCTAGGTGTAGCTGGCTTCTGGCTTTTGAATCTGTCCCAATTTATTAGGAATGAAAGGTTGCTGCCTGTTTGGCCTAGTATCCAGTTCTCTGGTACTGGACTATAACACTGTTTTTGACCCCCAGAAAATCTAGGTATTGTCATGCAAGGCAGATCAATTGATCACAACTACACTAAAATAGTATAATCAGTAATAACAATAGCATCAAGCACAGATTGGATAATGACAAACTGTGCTAACTAATAATTTGCCAACTTTAACCATAGGTATAATATATATAGTTCTATAACAAGATCTAAGACAAATCAGACAATTATATACAGTAAATATCCAATCCATAGAACAATTCTACCCTAAGGGGAGAAATTTTTAAAGGGATAAGAGATCCTAAATGAAACTGAAAGGGAAGGAGCATTCCCAAGTCATTCCTGGAAGCTACCATTACCCTGATTCCAAAACCAGAGAAGGATCCAGCCAAAAAAGAAAACTACTGACCAATCACTTTCATGAATATAGATGCAAAAATCCTCAATAAGATACTGGCAAACAGAATGCAGCAAATCATCAAAAAGATCATACCTCTTGACCAAGTAGGCTTTATCCCAGGAGTGCAAGGATGGTTTGACATACACAAATCAATGAACATAATACATTACATAGAAGCAAGGACAAAAATCACAGGATCATCTCAATAGATGTGGAAAAAGCCTTTGACAAAATCCAATGTCCATTCATGATAAAAACACTGAAGAAGACAGGCATAGGAGAATCTTATCTCAATCAAATAAAAACCATTTATGAAAAATCAATGGCTGACATCATATTAAATGAGGAAAAATGGAAAGCTTTCCTCTAAAATCCAGAACAGACAAGGCTGTCCATTGTCACTACTCCTGTTCAACACAGTCCTTGAAATATTATCCAGAGCAATCAGGCAAGGAAAAGAAATAAGAGGGATATGGAAGAAGTCAAATTATAATTATTTGCAGATGACATGATCCTCTACATAGAAGATCCAGAAAACTCCACCAAAAGATACCTAGGCTTAATAACCAAATCCAGCAATGTTGCAGGATACAAAATCAACACACAAAAATCAATAACATTCCTGTACATCAACAATGAACCCACTGAGAAAGAAATTAGAAAAAATACCATTCACAATAGCACTAAGAAAAATTAAATACTTAGGAATTAACCTAAGGAAATAAAAGACCTCTTCAAAGAAAATGATAGTACTCTGAAAAAGGAAGATGAAGAACACATCAGGAAATGGAACGATATCCCTTGTTCCTGAGTAGGCAGAACCAATATAGTCAAAATGGCCCTACTTCTAAAATTGATATACAGATTTAACACAATCCTAAACAAAATACCAACAGCATTCTTCACATAACTGGAGAAAATAATCTTAAAATTCATATGGAACCAGAAGAGACACAGAATAACAAAAGCAATCCTGGATAACAAGAGTAAAGCAAAAGGTATCACAATCCTGAATTTGAAATTATATTACAAAGCTACAGTGATAAAAACAGCATGGTACTGGCATAAAAACAAAAAAGAGGATCAATGAAACAGAATAGAGAATGCAAAAACAACCTTAAGCACATTATACTACTGGATCTTTGACAAAGGGACCAAAAATATACACTGCTGAAAAGCTAGCATCTTTAATAAATGTGGTAGGAAAACTGGCTATCCACATGCAGAAGATAGAATCTAGACCCAGATCTCTCACAATGTACTAAACTAAAATCAAAACTGTTCAAGAACTAAATATTAAAACAAAAACACTGAACCTGCTGAAAGTTTAAATAGTAAAACTCTTGAAGTCATAGGCATAGGCAGACTTTCTGAACAGAACCTCAGTTGCATAGGAAATAGTACCAAGGATCAACAAATGAGATCATAACAAATTTCAAAGCTTCTGCACGGCAAAACAGCTAAGAGACTGAAAAAATCCTACAGAATAGGAAGTAAATTTTTCCAGCTATACCTCAGACAGAGACGCAAAACATGAGACCCTACAAAAGAAAAGACCCAATTGAAAAACATGGAAGTAAAATGAATAGATACTTCAAAGAAGAAGCACAAATGGCCAATACATACAGGAAGAAATGTTCAATATTGCTGGCCATTAAAGAAATACAAATTAAAACAACACTGAGAGTCCATCTTACTCCAGAAAGAATGGCCACCATCAAGAAGTTGAACAATAACAAATGCTGGAGAGGCTTCAGGGGAAAAAGAATGCTTCTATTGTTGGTGGGAACGTAAACTACTACAACCACTATGGAAATCAGTGTGGAGGGTCCTCACAAAACTGAAAATAGAAATTCCATTTGACCCAGATATTCCCCTTCCAAGAATCTTTCCAAAAGATTTAAGACATTATATTACAGTGATACGTGGATGCCCATGTTTATAGCAACACAACTCATAGTAGCTAAATCTTGGAAGCAGCCCATATGTCCATCAACAGATGGAAAAATTGCAGTGTTTACACACAATGGAGCACTGCTCTGCTGTGAGAAAAGACAAACTTAAGTCATTTATAAGAAAATCGATGCACCTTGAGACCATAATGTTAAGTGAAATACATCAGGTAGACAAGCTTAAATATCACATGCTTTCTCTTATACGAGAAACCTAAATTATTAAAAAGCCAAATAAAAATAGATAACAGGAAGTATGGACATAGACCTTTCTCACATGGGAAGAAAATCAAGAATGGACGGGGGAGAGGGAGAGACAAGAAAGAGGAAGAAAAAAGGAATTAAGATGTATTAGGTACATGTATCAGCTCCACCCAAGGAATATAAACATTATGTGCTGTAAAATGTACTAATGAAAATAAAAAGTAAAAAGAAGGCAAAAAAAAAAAAAGATAAACTATTTGTAACAAGACTGGGTATTGGCCTTGTATTGGCCCTGTGACCTTACCTAAACTCCTTGGGATTTAAGTCCTCAACTGCAACTGAGAAAAAAACATATTGATCTCACAGGGATTGAAAGAATAGTAAACGAGGTGAATCTATCAAGTGCCTCACACTTAGTAACTGTTCCGTAAATGCTGACTTCATGATTCCAGAGGGAAAGCATTCCATATCTATGAAATAAGTTTCCTTTTCTGCTTGTTTTATGATACAAGGTCTCACTGTGTAGCTCATGCTGTCCTTGAATTCACAATCCTCCTGCCTAAGCCCTCCAAGTTCTGGAATTTCAGACATGTGACACCACACCTGTCTAAATTCTGAGAATCTGAGGATTGAACTCAGGGCTTTCTCACTGAACTGATTCCCAGCCCTGTTTTTTGAGACAGGTTTTGGTAAATCACTAAGTTGCCCACGCTGGGCTCAAACTTGTGATTCTCTTGCCTCAGACCCCCTGAGAAGCTGGGATTACCAGTGAGGTTCTTTTTCTTTACTGAAATCTGTTCAATGCTTTTACCTAGAAACTGTAAGTCCAAGCTGTTGAAGAAATATTTAATTTTAGCTCTTATAATCCTCTGGCAAATATCCCATGCAGTAAAGGATAACACTGGCTTTCTATGACTTACCAGATCCCTGGTGGATCCCAGTGAGGAGGAGAGAGCCTTGGTCTTGACCAGTGGGGTGTGGAAGCCAGGCAACTAACAGATGAAAATATAAAGTCCCTGGCTAAAAGCTAGAACCTACTACAGCAAGTGGGAAGGGGCCCTGAGGTGTCGTAGAAATAGGCATGAACAAAACTCCGTCTGAGAGTCGCAGAAAGTCAGGACTGAGAGCATGGCATTGCCCAGAATCTGCAAGGTCCCAGAGAGTGAGGAGGTGGGCATTCCACGCAAGGATGCCAGGCAGGCCAAACTCAGGTCCTGAGGATGCCCTGGTTTCCTCTTCAGCAGGGGGAGGGGTGGTGGGGTACGGTGATGAGGTTGGGGGCAGGGTTGCTGCTGGCACAGAGCAGTTGGCAAGGTGGAGAGAACCAACTGAGCAGAGCTTCAGACAGTCAGGCCAAGAAGTCTGGGCAGGGGAGTCTACGCAGGGCACTCAGGTATGAACTGACTGTTTTTGCCCTGTTAAGCAAAAGGCGGGACTGGGTAAGAGAAAATGGGCAGCCCATGCCTGTTGGTGCAACTTTGTCAGGGGACCTTAGGGTCAGAAGTGGTGCCATTCTGATGACATTATCCAGAATGGGACTCGATGAGTCACCCGAAGTGGGTCTGGAAAGAGTCCCAAGCATCTGATACGGGGGGTGGGGAGTGGGGGTGGGGGGGGGGAGGAGCCCTGTAACCGGCACGAAGTCCCAGGAGGACAGCCGGTCCTGGCGATCCTCTTCAAGCTCCGGCGATGATGGATAACTGCGTCCACTTCACAGAGGAGGAAACCGAGCTCAGGCACGTGACTTCTTTCTGATGTCACAGAGCTAAGAGCAGGCAGACTGGCAGAGGACTTGGCCCGGTATCTGGGGAGTTGATCCAAACCAATACTGGGTGGTAAATCCAACTTAAAAAAAAAAAAAAAAAGAAAAACTTGCTTTGAAGCTTGAAGCATTTGCCATTTCCCGCAGCATAAATAAAAGTACTCGGCCCTGGCCCATTTCGGCTCCCAGAGTGACGTCACCGAGTGCAGAATCAGCTTCGGTCCAGTCCCAGCCAGCTCCAGCCCCCCACTGACTCAAATCCAGGCCGGGTTGGTTCTGAGGCTTCACCTCCATCTCCAGAGCCAACTCAAACAGCACCCTACCGACGCAGCGTCTTTATTCACCACCTTCACCCCAAAGTCTCGCGGGCCTAAAGAATGAGATCCAGGGAGACACCTCACAGTATTGCAGTCTCCAGCCACACTGTCAGACCCGCAACCCAGCTATTCCGGAACTTCCCACACAGCTAAGGGTCTGGAGCCATGTCGAAGCCCACAGCTGGCGCAGAGGGAACACTGCAGCGCGCAGACTGGCAAAATTCCTAGATTAGCAGTAACAGATCCCTGCTGACATTCAGAACCGCAACAGTGACTTCTTGTCCCGAGCAGGAAGTGTGTTTCTGATGTCACTATCTGCACACAGATGCAATTCCCACAGCACCCGTCTTCAAAGTTGGCGCCTCACTTTCTCTGTCAGTTCCTTTATGTCAATCTGCAGCGTTTCAGTTCCAAACCTATGAACATGCGTATGTGTCACAATTTCTTCCAAGCCTCGAGGCTGGTGGGTATTTCCCTCCTAATCTGAAATGCCTGTGGAAGCAGAAGAAAGGCGACACATACAGCTGGGAAATGGGAGCACCCCTGTGAAATGAAATGGAGCGGTTTTGTGACAAACCCATCTCCCACTGGAACTAGGAGACAGTTGGCTGTGGCAAGAGGGACTTGGAGGGAAAGGCCTGAGCACGGAGCCCTGGGCTAGAGGATAGGGTGGTGGGATGGTACTGCAGGCCATTAACCCAGGGCCAAGGGCTGATGGGGGGCCCTGAATCAGGTGGGAAGTAGACCCAGGCATTCTCTTTGCTCCAAGGGAGACCGGGCTGCAGAGACCCAACTTCTCAGCAGGCAGAGAGGCCAAGGCTGCCCAGCAACTGCTGGTGGACCTACAGGAAACCAGCTGGGGCTGGACAGGGCCTTCCGATCCTGCCACACTGATGGAACATACAAGTCACATCCTCTGGAGGACGTGGCCCAGACAGCAACTAGGCCTGTTGGGTGTCTGTTGGAAGGCACCTCCTTTTGGGAGAAAGGCTCGTCCCCAATCTAATTTTAAAGAAGGGCCTGAATCATAATGCAAACCGGTCATTACCGAGTGACTTCAGACCCTCAGGCTCCTCTAGCCCTTGGAAAGTAGCTAATGTACAGTTATTAACAGGGCCTATCTCAGAAATCCCCAGCTCACTGGTGCTGTGGGGCTCTCAACCCGTACAGAGCCAAATCCTCCCTTGATACCTTAGAGCATGCTATGCCTTAGCACAAAGCCAAATACCATAAACTATAACATTTGTTTTAAAGTATGACTTTCTATAGAACACATCATAAACCCTCAAAACTGGCACAGAACACGGGTTAGCAGTTTCATCTTTGAGTATCAAAGTCCTCTGCTATCCGTTTGCAAATGTACTTTCCCACCAGAAAATTACTTCTGGTTTCCCAGGGGAACTGAGTGACTCTAGTCACCCCTACACCTCACCCAGCATCCCTGCCACTGTGCCAAGTTTGGAAAGAGCCACCTCGTCTTAAGCTGGCCACTTCCGCTCCTCCCCTCTTCCCAACATCTCCTGGGAAGTGTGTCAGTGGCCTGAATGCAGATGTTCATCCCCAGAGGCCTCGCCGGAACCTGCCTTTTCTCACTCCTTGGATCATCAGTACATCTGTCTGCCTTCTCTCTCACTTTGTCCTAACTCGGGTTTTGCAGCCACAGAGCTGGCTTTGTGGTGGGGCCTTTTCATTTCCCCAGGGTAATGTCACCAGGGTATTGTGTGCAATATTCCCATAGTATTTCTTCAAGATCAACTCATTGTTCGAGTTTACTTTTAAAAGGTTTTATTAGAAATGCAAGAAGGGACAAAATGTCAACAATAGCCAAATAAAACACCGGATAACTTAGGGTTCTGTCAGTAGCAGACAGTACACCTGGGGCTGTGGGACCACTCCCCGCCACTCAGCACCCCAGGCAGCCATCCCCACTTGGCCCCAAGGCCAAGAGGTAAGAAAAACAAGGATCCTTGAGCCCACCTGGAAAATTTCCAAGTCCCAAACCGGCATCCATGTGTACCTAATCCTCTTTCTTCCCCTGGGGCTCCCTGTAGGTTCACGCACATAGACTTCACTTCACACATCCAAGTATAACAGTGAATTATGGGAAAGACACGCCGTATGCCGTTTTCCAAGGCAAGCTCTCTCAGCCTCCAGGCAGGAGGCCTTAGGACAAAGCGGAGTTGGGCTCGGCCCTGGGTGTTGAGTGGTGTCACAGCCCCAGGTGTTACCCATGTTACTGACATAGAATCAGCACCATCGGTCACTGTCAATCATGTTCTGGAAGATCTGACTGGAAGATCCGACGCCCTCAAGCACTTGTGTCATTTTCCCTCCGACCACGCCACGTCCAATTCTTTATTTTCCACAAGAAACTAGAAACCGGTCCAGGACCCCATTACCCATCAGATCCAAACACTGAAGTCACTCAGCCCTGGTGGGTGATGAACCACGTCTGAAAATCTCTCAGGGACCCAAAATACCAAAAAGGCTCTCTGTATGAAAGATACTCTCTGAGGGATTACTCAAGATGAGATAACAGAAGACTGGACATGCCACATTGTAGGGGAATCCTCACCTCTAGGAAAAGGCAGCCTTTAAAGATATTGTGTATTTTTGTGGAAGGAAAAAGAGCAGGATGCTAAATTGTATACTATTACAATGCATACATACATACATACATTCAAAATGCCCCCAAAGAATTTGCCAGAGTAGGAACGGGGTTGTGAGAGACTGTGGTCCTTTCCTTCCCCATAAATACCTCTGTCCCTCAGAATCCATGGGAGAGAGCCAGGCATGGTGAGATCCCAGCAATCAGGAGGTTGAAGCAGGAGAATTACCACAAGTTCAAGACCTGTCTGAATCACATAGTGGGACCCTGTCTCAAAAAAAAAAACCCTCATGGGAGATTGAGTCCAGGACCCCCAGTACCAAAATCCATGGATGCACCAATCCCTTATATAAAATGGCATAGTATTTGTACATAGCCCATGCACACCTCCCTCATGTTCTACATCATCTCTAGATGACATACAACTAATACAATGTAAATGCTATGTGAGTAGTTGTTACACTGCATTGTCTAGGGAATAATAAGGAAAGAGCCAGTACAGAGTCAGTACAGATGCAATTCCCCCTAAACACTTTCAATCAAAAACTGGTTGGATCTGTGAATGCAGAACCCACAGATACAGGCCAGCTATGCACACTTTTCCATATACTGTGGTTATGCTGTTACTACTTACAATGGAGAAAACAGACTCACTTAAACATGCAGAATGTTTCCTTCTCGATACTAATGGGATAGATCAAAGTGCATTTCTAGAAAGAGTTCATTTCTAGCTTCAGACTGCAGGGTAGCAGATGGCTTTGGAGCATGTGAATAAGACCCTCCTTTCATTACATAATGGGAAGTAAGCTTTTGCCTCAAGAAAGACCTGAACCTAATACAGAATTAATGTCTCCCAGTCATTCTGAAGGCAGGCTACAAGATCTTTCTTCTCCCCATAGGAATGTACAGGGAGCAGCAAGCCAGATGCAGGCTGAATCACAGGAGGCGGGGGGTGGGGGTG